CTGCAATGAGAAGTATGGTGTTGAGGTTCCTAAGCACATGGCCTATAGGGCCAAAACTTAGCTGTGGAAGCTGTCTTAGGAGAGCACAAGAAGCAGTATCCCAGGTTAAGGGACTATGCAGCAACCATCATGCAGACAAACCCTGGAAGTAGGGTTGTAGTTACAACTCTAGTTCCTAAAGCAACAAAAAAATACCACATCCAGGGCCAAGGTTTCATGCAATGTTTTTCTGCTTAAATGGAGCAAGGGAGGTATTTCTCACTGGATGCAGACCTTTCATTGGTTAGTTACTTGTTTCTTTTCTTTAGTTTCATTGCTACGTACATGATTTCACCTTTGCTGTAGTTTCTTTGCTATGTACTGACTTAATTGGTTCTTTTTTTTGCAAAACAGGTGTTGATGGATGCTTTATTAAGCTGACCACAGGTGCACAGATCCTTGCTGCCACTGGCAGAGATGGCAATAACAACATTTATCCAATTGCATTTGCCATTGTTGGTCAGGAGGATACAGCAAATTAGTGCTGGTTTCTGCACCAACTCAAGATATGTCTAGGAGGAGAAGTTGGCCAATTTGGTCCTTATACTATCATGTCAGATAGACAGAAGGTAAGTACTTAGTTTGCTGTGTAATTTCAGTAGCATAGTTTCTTGGTTTTTTTCAACTATATCTGTAGTCAGTAGCTTAGTTTGTTGTTGTAATTTCAACAGGGGCTACTCAATGCAGTGAATAGAGTATTTCCAAACTGCCACCAGAGATATTGTCTTAGACACTTATATGCAAATTTCCAGAATGCTGGTTTTAGGGGGGAAGATCTAAAGAAATGCATGGATAATGCCAGTTATGCTTACAATGAATATAAGTTTAATATTGCTATGAATTATTTGAGAAATGAGTGTGTGGATGCTTGGAAGTGGCTTAATGCAATTCCTAAGAATACATGGGCAAGGCATGCTTTTGACACTAACTGCAAGACAGATTTGGTTGTTAACAACCTATCTGAGGTGTTCAACAAGTATATCCTTGATTTTAGGAAAAAACCTATTAGGACTATGGTTGATGGTATTAAGGACAAGCAAATGGTGAGGTGGCATGAGAAGAGAGAGAGAGGAAAGGCAGCTTTCTAGGAGATCACACCACACTATGCTGAGAAGTTAGAGCTGGAAAAAGAGAGGGCTAGATATTGCAAACCCATTCAAGCTGGTGTTAATTTATGGCAAGTGACCAGTGGGCAGCAAACACACCCTGTGAACTTGGATAATCATACATGTGGTTGCAGAAAATGGGACCTCAGTGGCCTACCATGTAACCATGCAATTTCAGCAATTAACAAGGCCAAGAGGTTTCCAGAGGACTTTGTTTGTAAATTCTTCAGAAAATCATTTTATGTGGCAGCATATGAACCTATGATCTTTCCTGTTCCTGGTGAACATGACTGGATAAGGACACCTGGACCAGACATAGAGCCACCAGAATTTCATGTTAGGAGAGGAAGAAAGTAAGAGAAGAGGATGAAGGGCAAGTTTGAAGTGCCAAAGCCAAAAGACAGCAGTAGAATGGCCACAATAACATGCTCTAACTGTGGTCTCCAAGGCCATAGATACACCAACTGCCTGAAACAATTGAAACCAGATTTGGCTATGAGGAAAAACAAACATGTGGTAATACCAAATCTCACTTCTTTTTTATTTGTTGACTAGTGCATTTTAATGTTGTCTACTAATACCAATCTCACTTCTTTTTACAAGACCAAGAGGTCACAGCAGCAACCTACACCTGCAAGATCACAGCCCCTACCTGCAAGATCACAAACTCCACCTGCAAGATCCCAGCCTGCACCAAGATCACAGCCTCCACCTGCAAGGACTGGTGCAAGATCTGGAGCAAGGTCTGGTGCAAGGACTGGTGCAAGTTCACACCCATCAACTAGTGGTGCAAGGCCATTCACTGCCCCAAGATATGCAACTCCTTCTAATCTTCTGCCCCAAGAAGTCACACTGGTTGGATGAGGTGGTTTGATCCTAGTGGTAACTGATGAGTGTGTGAAATGAGTTGTTGTTTCTCAAAACTATGGCAAGTGATCAATGTTTTGTGTCCTGAACCATGGCATGGTTGGATGCTTAGGTTTAATTGTACTGAACCAACAAGTCAAACTGGTTGGATGATTATGTTTGAGTGTACTGAATTGCTATCAACTATCTTAATGTTATGGGCAATGTTATGCTATCAATTTGGTGATTAGTGTTATTTGCAATTAGGTTATTGGCAATGCCTAACCACTTTGTTTACCTGACCACTTTGGCTCAGGGGGTTCTTGACGTCGACGGACCCTAAATGCCTAACCACTTTGGTTTAGGGGGTTCTTGACGTCGGCGGACCCTAAATGCCTAACCACTTTGGTTTAGGGGGTTCTCGACGTCGACAGACCCTAAATGCCTAACCACTTTGGTTTAGGGGGTTCTCGACGTCGACAGACCCTAAATGCCTAACCACTTTGGTTTAGGGGGTTCTCGACGTCGACAGACCCTAAATGCCTAACCACTTTGGTTTAGGGGGTTCTCGACGTCGACAGACCCTAAATGCCTAACCACTTTGGTTTAGGGGGTTCTCGACGTCGACGGACCCTAAATGCCTAACACCATAGTGGTTCACAACAAGGTTCACAACTTACTGGTTCACAACAAGGTTCACAACTTACTGGTTCACAACAACAACATATTGATTAACATAGTGGTTCACAGCAACTAAGAGTTAACATAGTGGTTCACAGCAACAACATAGTGGTTCACCACAACACCATAGTGGTTCACAACAACTTAAAGCAACAACATAGTGGTTCACCACAACACCATAGTGGTTCACAACAACTTTAAGCCACAACATAGTACATAACTTAGTTCACAACAACACCATACTTCACAAAAGGTCAGCAAAGCAAGCATTCTTCTTCTTCATGTTGATCTGGATCTTGCTCTTGCTCTTCCTCTACATCTTCATTCTGACAAGATGTCCAGGATCCCCTTCAATTTCTGCTTGTTCTTCTCCTCTGACTTCAACAGTTCAGCAATCTGAATCTTTAGCTGATCCCTCCTTGCTGTGAGCTTCTCATGCCCCTTCTTGAGATCACCCATGTGAAGGAGCAGCTGGGTGTTCTCCTGGGTCAGCTTTTCCTCAGACTTTTTGAGTTCATCAACCTGGAATTGCAGATTCCTGGTGGATGTACTAAGCACTTCCTTCTCTTTTAGATGATTAAACTTCAGGTTTCTGATGCAAGTGCCTTGAGATTCTGTCAGGTTCATCAGTACTTTATACTTCTCCTGCAGCTCGAAGATCTCTGCATCTTTCTTCCCCATCTCTGTCTTCATGTCAGATACTGAATCAGAAACATGCACATTCTGCATCTTAGCCTGCAAATAGCTGAAATCTACCATCCTATCCTCTTGAGCATTGAACAGTTGGTGCACATCTTCAACCAATTTGTCATAGTTGGCCTCTAGATTATTTTTTTCTTCAGTCAACTGGTGAATAGTGAATGAACTCTCCAGGTTATCCTTCCTCCTATCACTCTTGCTGTCATGATACATTTCCCATAGCTTCAACAAGGCATTCTGCAATGTAGGAGGCCACTCTGGGTCAACCCAGAGAACAACACCACAGTTGTCATCTTCCTGCAATATAAACAACCATAGCATGAGCATCTTAAAACAATGTAGGACCCTAAATGACTAGCCACCGAATTAAAAATGAACTTTAAGCATCCTTGGGAAACAGCTTTAATAATATAGCCAACTTTAATAATATAACACTAGGTGAATTTTAAGCTTCTAACATTGAATCTCTCTGACCTTAAACAATCAAATAATTTGCAAAGTGAGTACTCTTGTACTGCAAACATTTTCCAATCCACTGATTAGCACCAGTAGTACTAAATGGCTACAAAAATGACCCTCACACAGCTACAAAATGACCATCAGAGCTATGGTACAAGAGTACTCATTAAACAATGTGCATCAGCACATGGCTAGATTAAAGAACATGAATTCCATGCACTGGACTGCACAATTCTATGCACATGGCTAGATTAAACAATACCATTAACACGGAGTTTGGACAGAATCTTACACTCATAGGACAGACTAAGAACCTCCTGCCCGTGTTAAATGCTTCGAATGCTACACGCCTCTCAGCCGCCACACCATGCTGATGGCAAAGAACTCTGGATGCTGTCTCAATGCCACTGTAGTCTTCGTCTTCAATGCTAGCAGGGATCTACAGGAACAAAAGGAAAACAAAATCCCCAAATCAAATCAAATCCCCCCAAATCTGATAACCCAACCCTAACCCTAGCTCTACAACTCACCCGGTAATGCATGGCTTCGTCGTCGGAGAGGTTCATGTATTGCGCGATTGAGTCCTGGCTGCTCTCCTCCTCCATGGCGCGACGGCGAGCCGGTTGAGGTGGCGGCGGCGGCGGGCGGAGGGCGGCGGCGAATCGGAGAGAGGATGGAGAGCGAGAGTGAGAGTGAGGTCGAGCGAGAGTGAGGCGAGTCCGACCGAGCCCATGTAACCGACCGCACCGGCCTCGTCCTAGTCAGCGCACCGGGCACGCGCCGATTCGGCCAGCGTGTCACCTGACATGTGGGCCCGACCTGTCGGATACGCGGTCAATACGCGCTTATACGGCTGTCAGCCCGTTATGCATCACTTAGGCCCTGAGTTGGTACTAAACTGCGACATGCACGAGTAGTGGTACTGATTCGTGAGTAGGTCAGCAAGTGTGGTACCAACGTGCAATTAACTCTACGTAGCTTGAGGCGACCGCCAAAAGCAAGGCACCCCACAGCGTGTAAAGCCGGCCTGCTCGATCAGCTCATGTACGCGGCATGCATGTGCCTACGACTACAAATACGTACCCATGGCCGCCTCCAGAGAATGTGTATACTACCCATCGGCCAATACAAGCATCATCGAAGAGTGCAGTTTCTACTTTGTAGCTAGCCATGTCGAGCCATAGATCTTGTGGCCTGGTGGTGGTGCTCGCCTGCGCCGCTCTCATGGCGGCGGTGGCCGGCACGGCGCAGTACAACGTCGGCGGCGACAACGGGTGGGGCGTGCCCGGCGCCGGCGCCGAGTCCTACAACACCTGGGCCGAGAAGACCACCTTCCAGGTCGGCGACCAGCTCGGTACGTGACTTCCTGCTGCTTGCACATTTGCATCTCGGTGACGCGACTTTGATGCGTGTGTGTGGGGTTCATGCATGCATTGCTTGTGCAGTGTTCGTGTACCCCAAGGACAAGGACTCGGTGCTGCTGGTGGCGCCGGCCGACTACAACGCCTGCAACACCAACACCTACGACAAGCAGTTCAGCGACGGCAACACCGTCTTCGACCTCGACCGCGCCGGCGCCTTCTTCTTCATCAGCGGCGTCGACGCCAACTGCCGCGCCAACGAGAAGCTCATCGTCATGGTCGCCGCCGCCGCCAAGGGCGCTCCCACGCCCAGCCAGGGGTCGCCTGCAGCAACAGCAACGACCCCGCCGTCTGCTCCCTCAGGTGGCGCCCCGCCAAACTCCCCAGCAACCCCAAATGCTCCGGCGGGTGAGGCGAGTAACTCAACGCCGGCCAAGGGCGCACCTCCTGGAGCCGCCAGCGGCGCCGGTCTCACGGTGGCAGGCCTCGCCGGCTCGTTCGTGGCATTGTTTGGATACGCCATGCTTGCTTTCTAGTACTGCTTTCCAAAGCTATCTTTTACTGCTCCTTTTCAAAGCCGGAAGACTATTTGCTCCTTTTCAGAGGGCAACGTGTCTCTGCTCAGATTCTTTTCCGTTATGATCAATGACAAATGCAATATGATGGTTCCTGAATGAGATAGCACCTAGCATTGGCATTCCAGCAGCATATTATCAGATAGACTCCCTCCATAAGGAAATACTTGTCGGAAAAATGGATAACACATCTTCTTTTATCCATTTTGATGACAAGTATTTCCGGACGAAGAGAGTACATCCATTTCTTCGACAAGTATTTCCGGACAGGGAGTATTACTTATCAGAAAGCATAATAAAGGCATGCGCGGACTAATACTTTCGCATAAATACACGACCAGAGATGTTCTGAAGCGAAGCACAGCTCTGAATTAAGCTATTCAAATATTCTGAACTCGGAGTAAACTGACGGGCGACTACATAGGATCTATAATAAGGCTATTCAAACTACAAATTCTTGATGACGACCATGAGAGACGATGAAAAAGAAGGCGTCTACAGCCTCCTTCCTCTCCTGCCGCCCTTTCTGCGAGTGCTGTCAGTGGGAACAGGGGTCACGTCCTCTGCAAAGAGAATGAGACATACCATCATTAGTTCTATGCCCAATAAGGGTGACACCACAATGAAACAGCAAAGTACACTTGGACCCGCTGTCCATGAAGGGGGGTAACAAGATATGTATTCTTCATTTGCATATATGCAGCGGATGCCAGAATTTACCAATGCGTCCAATTTTCATGCCAGAACGAGCGAGTGCCCTGAGAGCGGATTGAGCACCAGGTCCAGGAGTCTTGGTCTTGTTGCCTCCAGTGGCACGGAGCTTAATGTGCAAAGCAGTGATGCCAAGTTCCTGGAAGCGCAAGCACATATATCAGAATCCTGAAGGCACCCAAACAGAAAATAGTCCAATGAAAGCCCATACAAACCTTGCAACGCGTCGCAACATCTTGAGAAGCGAGCATAGCTGCATATGGTGATGACTCATCACGATCAGCCTTGACCTTCATTCCACCTGCATTGATTAGGGGACAATCAGATTTATTTTTAAACCATAAAATATAGCTCAACCACTAAAAGAAAAGGTACAGAGCATACCAGTAATACGAACAAGGGTCTCTCTCCCAGACAAGTCAGTGACGTGCTGCAGACGGAGGCTAACACCAGTAAGAAACCGAACAGCACATGACGGTGACGACCATAATAAAGCATGTAATAGGCAAACCAGTACATACGATGAATGTGTCATTGAATGATGCAAAGACATGAGCAACTCCGAAGACATGCTCCCCTTCACGGACAGCAGGTCCAAGAGTAACATTCTCCTCCTTAGGCTCCCTGGTTTTCCTCTTCGACTAGCAAGGCAAATCAGATTTAGCTTAGCACATACTTGACATAATTGCACAACAACTATGTAACTAATCAAAGCAGCATACTGAGGCCGTGTTTGGTTGGACTTTTGGAACCAGCTTCTGGCTTTTCAAAGCTACAATCTAACCAAAGGGGTAAAATGAGAAGCAGAAGTTGCAAAATCTACAGCTTCCCCGCAGTGTAATTTTCGCAGCGGGTGAACCCCCAACTTCAGCGGTGCAGTTTTAGCTGTCCCCTGAAAGTTTCATAGTATTTACCCACGTTTGCCACTGGCAAGTGAAAAACGATTGGATCCTATTCTTCCCGAGCGAGGCATCCACCACAAGAGAAAAAACCCCTGCTCGTTTCACATTGACCCGAGCGACAGCTAGGGTTCCTAGCCGCTGCCGCCGGCGCCGCCCATCCGCCGCCGCGCGCCCAGCCACCGGCGCTGCCTCCCGCGTCCACCGTCCGCCTCCCCGCGGAGACCTCCGTTCTCCACTACTCGGCGTGGCCTCCTCCTTCCTCAACTACCGGCCTGCGCCACCGGAGCAGCAAGGGCCGCCGTCCCTCCACCGCGCGCGCCCCGCCGCCGGCGCCGCCTCCCGCAGCCCTGCCGCGACCTCCTCCATCCGTTCTGCCATGTAGCTGCACCCCTTTCCTCCCACTGCCCTTGTCCCCTTCCCATGTCCTGTACCAAGTAGGTTTTTTTTGCTCTGTTGGTAGTGAGTGAATTCATGTGAAGTGATGAACAATGGATGATTTTTGATATATTGATGCATGTAGCTTGTCATATTGTTGTATATTCATGTAAAGTGGATGACATTTTGATATGTTGCTGCATATTGCTTGTCATATCGTGGTATATTGATGTAAAGTGGAAGAAATTTTGATAGTATTGTAGCATATCTCGATGTTTAGCTATGTCGATGGAGGTCAACACCATGTGAACCATATGTGTTTTCTATGGTGCATGTGTTTTGTAATACTATTACGGGATTAATATCTATTTAAATGTATGCAACATCAAAGTACAGTCGTTGTATTGCCTATGCATTAGCTATGAATCGCCTACATTGTCATAATTTTTCTTTGAAAAATGATCGTTCAGTTACCTACAAATGTACATATCACTGCCCTACGGTCAATAAGTACATAAATATATGAACTCAGGCCCCATGGGCAATATAGACAATTCACAGCCAAATCTACAATTTCACAGCTGTTTTACCAAACAGCCTCCAGCTTTTCCACAGCAGCATTTTCACAGCAGCTTTTCTACAGCAGCTTTTTTAGAATCTGCAGCTCAACCAAACAGAGCCTGAGAAATCTTCCAAAATCTGCCAATGCAGTATTCTCAGCAATTAAACAAAAAGAATGTCAAATGAGTTTAAGTTAAATCTTAGCCTCCTTCTGTTTCTCTGTATCATCTAAGTGTGAATTGCAAGTGCGTTTAAATTAAAAACTGCAGCTCTTGGGAATATTTGTGAACAAAAACCAGATTTATCCCCTCCCAAAATGAGCAACCCAAATCATTTGAAACACACACAAACAGTTCACCACCAAGATCATCACCTGCAAACCACAGTAACCGTTCGTCCATTACTAACTTGAAATTTCTCTACCAGTTCAGCTGTTAAAAATCAAAGCACCAGGTTACAGTTCCAATCTATAGGCACCTAAATCGCAGAGCTACAGTTTCATCATAAGCCAGCACCGAATGATACTGCAAAAGTTCCATACAATAGCAGAAGGAACGCCTTAGATCACAAGATGCAGCTGCACATCTTGCCGGATTCACCCCACTGAACAAGCGTCCGCACAGCGAATCCGTCGCGCGAACTCGACAGCCATGTAAATGCCAGCTGAAGGGAGACGGAGACGAAGGCATACCATGGTGGCGCGAGGCGACGAGGGATCGAGGCGCCTTCTCCTTGTGCTTCAGGTCGCGAGTCGCCGCCGCCGCCGGAGTTTCGTTAAGAGTGAGAAAGGTATTACCGGGAGAGGTTATATGCGACGGCGGCGGATGACGGGTACTAGGGTTTAATGCGGAGGCTGAAGCAGTGTCTGCAAGTGGGACCGGTGATCGCATGGGCCTAGATAGCCGCCCAGGCCAGAAAAAAAGAGGCAGCAAATGGGCTCATTTTTATTAGTACGGTTGGGCTCACACCTCATGCCTTCATATGGGCCCGTCAGCACGACTGATCCATCAGTCCCTCTTCAGTGAATTATTATTGTTGCCTACAAACAAGACTTGTCCTGATTTTTTTACACATACTTATATTTCCAAAAAAAATTACATATACTTATCCTGATTATTTACATAAACTTAAGATCTCAAAATTTGTACGTTGAACACGGCAATTTATCTCTTATTCTACAAGTAATTCATATTTTGGCCTATTTTTTAACCCCCACAGGGTTACAATTTATCATGTGCGCATCGAGCTGTGAAGAAGATGTGGACACATGTATGTACGCCCGTGCATATGAGGCTTGCATTAAGTTTACCGCACTTGTGTTTCTATCATGTAATCATGTAAAAATTCGTTCATGTGGAAACTTGTTGTGTGCATGGCACAATATACATGGTCTTATTTTTTGTGTTTCTACCATGTAACCATGTAAAAATTCGTTTGTGTAATCATGCATATGAAACTTGTTGTGTTTCTGTCATGTAATCATGTAAAATTCCGTTCATGTAATCATGCACGATTTGTTTTTGTGTGCAGGGCACAATATACATGGTCTTATTTTATTTTATTTTGGAAAAGAATGTGTCCATTCTCATTTTAATGGTAGATGCTGCTTCTCTTTAAGTTATGCTATCCAAATTCCAAATGTCAATTTCAAAGAACCTTCATGAGGTATTTAGTCACATGGCTGGTCAATGTCTTATCTGTACCAGTTTTGGCTCTATATTTGCAAAAGTTGCTTCGTAGTGTATTCATAATGTTTGGTTAGTTCAACACTTGCACAACAATGTCCCATTTTGTGTATCAGGTCCATCCTTCCATCATCTTTTTCATAAACACGGATTAAGTATATGGAAAAGATGTGAAATATCTCTGGAAACATTGTGTCTTCAAAATAATGCTAATGGCATATATCTTCCACGGCTTGCAACATTGTGTCTTCAACTGAATTTGCGCACAACTCATGATGTTGCAAGATAGATTAGAGTTATACTTGAAGGAAAATTCAACCATAAATCTCTTATTGTCTTATAGTACCTACTCTGAAAGGAATATGGATGACACCGATGTATGTTGAAGACACAAAGTAACATCAATCTGACTATTATGTATGTTGTCCTTCGTGAAAATTGAGCTTGCTATGTATTTAGTCCTTTGAGAAAATTGAGCTTAGTTTTTTTTTGTATCTCTCGTAAAGAAACCCGTTTGGTGCATCCTAGCTCCAAATAAGGAGGAGTATCTTAAGGTTAATGCATAATGCTAATAGGCTAATGCAGAAAATTCACGTGTTATATATGTTGTGCCGCAATTCCATGGTCTGGGCTTCTTCATATTTTTCTCAAGGGTTTAACATTACGAACTCATCTTTGCGGCTACTCGAGGAAGCATGGGTTCAATGCTAGATGAGAGTCAAATAAA